TTTGGCCACCGTCTTTGTGCTCGTCGATGCCCCATCGTGCCGTCAGGAAGGTGTTGTCCCGTTTTCGATCGGCGTTGAACGTTGCATGCTTCATGTATCCGTCGAAAAGTCTGGGGTCGATGAGGCGCAAGGCTGTCATTGCATTGATGCCAAAGGCCACACCAGCACCTATCTCGGCAAACGCTGGGGCAGATTCGAAGATTTGAATCTTGACGCCGTGTTTGACGAGGCCTAGAGCAAGCGCAAGCCCGCCTAGTCCACCGCCAATAATGGCGATGGGGAGTTCATCGTGGTTGCTGAACTTGGGGGTTGTGGACGCCGTGGGGCTAGACATGGTAAGGGAAGGGTAGGAGAATGGGGTAGTGGGCAGCCGTGTCCTTTGATGGTCGCGTCTTGTAGCTCCGTTTTGTATCCTTTTTTCCGCCCATATCAGACTTGGTAATCGCCGTTGATCTTTCCACAATCCTTGTCCACCAAAGGGCCGTTTCTTTGTAGCCCTAGTTTGACACATGGCCAGTGATATGGCTGCACAATTGAAACATACAGGATTGCCCACATGGTCATTGAATTTTGCACCAAAGAGATTCCAGGAACGCGACTCGTTTGGCAAGGGTGGTCCCTGAACATTGTGTAAATTTCAATATTACCAGCCTTGGTCGTACCGTAGGATAAGAGTGCTCGTTGTCGAGCATCGGATGCTGTCTCAGGTCCACATGATGGTGTAGGCATTTCGCGGGAGCACCTGCCCCTGTTCCTTGCTAGGCACATCTGAAGCGAATCCATCTTAGTGATGGCCAGATTTAGTTTACACATTCATAAAGTTCCCTCATCCATCATTACAGATGACTAAACAGGACTCTTTTGATTGACGAACGTCTTGGAGCAGCCGTATTCTCCCCTTGACAGTCCTTGCATTACAAACCTTACCTGTTCAGCTATCCTATCCGTGTATACAAAAACGGTTCCTCGTATCCACAACTACAACCATTCTCGGACCGTAGGGTGTAGTCTTATCAGGTGCCGGCATCATCGGAACCAGACTCCTGCCCACTTCCTACATCCCCTCCCCTCTTTTGATGACACTGCTCAGGTACCGATACCCGATGGTCAGGTGACAAATGCGGGGTGTGGGACTGGAGGCTTAGGTAGTTGACATCTGTGATTGGAAGATTGCAACAACACCGGATGAGATGGGCTACCTACCGGTGACGAGTGATTGCAAAGCAGCAAGGCATGTCGTTTCCACACGTACCGGTGGAAAGAAGAAAAGCGTGATGTGTTCAACGCCGAAGAGGATGAACTTACTGTAACGTGATCCACCACCGAGCGCCCACCCCCACCGAGCGCCCACCAACACCAAAATCCACCACCCACTAAATAAGGATATTGCGCCACCCACAATAGCTATTATTACGAGATTTCTTAGAGTCGCGATTATTAGATCTATTAGAGTAGATTGAATATTTTAGATTATATAGGCAGCTTTTTAGGGGGTCTAATTAGGCGCCTACGCCGTGAAGTTGCCTCCACTACTATATCCTCTTCTACTAGCTCCTTATTAACCACCTTAGCTAGTATAATAGTAGGAGGCTTAAGGATTTGCCTCTTGCCTATTTAGGACGTTTTAATATTATTTTAGAGTTACTTTTCTAGTTGCTTAGTAGTTTTCTACTTATTATATATAGTAGCTTTTTAGGTAGCTTTCTCCTTCTACTCCTTCTTAATAATTACTTAATTTAAGTAACACTCCTCTATAAGTTAAGCTTTAGCAAGCTTCTATTACTTATAAAGCTTAATTACCTTACTTTTTTAGTGTTATAGCTCCTATTCTTTAAGGTTCTTTTGCTCCTAAAGCTTAAACACTTACTCTACCTTTAATAGTAAAATAAATTAGGTACTACTACTATAATTATTATTAGGGGGTAATAATAGAGGTTTACTACGCTTCCTACGCTTCTTCTTATTAGCTAGGGCAGCCCTTAGGTGTTTATTTTCGTGGTTAAGTAGAGTATTTCTTACTAATATAGTATAGATTGTCTAGCTAAGCTTCTTTAACTATTTATTATAGATATTAATTATAATATTATAGAGTAACTACTCTATCTTTCTCTAATTACTTATACTTAATATTAAGGTTATACTATTACTTAAAGAAGGCTAGTTACTATTATTTATAGGTGCTTTAAACCTTAAAAGAATAATATTAGGGTTAAGTAGTAAGATACCTATTACTTTAAAAGCTATTAATATTAGCTTTTCCTTAAATGTATTGCTCTATACAGTATTAAATAACTAGTAGAAATCCCTCTTAGTAATGCTTATAAGCCCTTAGGAGCTATCTAGAAAACTAGATAGTTAAGCTTTATATAAAGCTGCGAAGGGAGCAAATACTATAATATTAAGTAGCTAAAGGGTGTAAGTGCTATAAGGGGGATATATTATAAGTAGGATCTTATATTTATTATAGTACTTAATAAACTCTATTATTATATAAGATCTATAGCTATTAAGGATAAGAAGCTAGTATAAAGTATAAGCTTTAGCTTTTATCTTGCGATTAAACACCTCCTTAAGCTAGGATACCCCTAGGGTGTGGCTTATCTACCTACTTAGTAATCCTATAAAGAAAGCTTAGTATTATAATAGGTTAAAATCTTATAACTAGGTATCCTATAGAGCTCTAGATTAGGACTAATAAATAAGAGCAGGGGTAAGAGTAGTACTATTAGCGCATATGCAAGCTATAGTAGTAATCCACTCTCTATTACTATCCTAGAGCATAGCTCTAATCTTTCTCTACTTATAGGCGCTCTTATCAAATATATGTTTAGTTTTTAATAGTACTCTAATAAGAAAACCCTTCTTATCTATATTATAGATATACTAACTCTTAATATTATATTACTTAATTTTTTAGTGTAAAAGCTTAAAGTATAAGCTATACTTAAAGGTAGAATTAGCTTTAAAGTAGTTATAATTAAGCCTAGTAGCCTAATAGGAGATAAGATTAATATTATAGCAGTTAATAAAGCGCTACACCTAATTTTTACCTACTAGATTCCCTATTGTGGAAATTTGGATCACTAAGGTTAGGAATGATTTGGGAGATGGATTATTAGATTATATCTACTACGATCAGACTTATATATATAGAGCTTTAGCTACCCTTACTAGAAGGTAAATAATTAGTAAACCTTCCTTACTAGAGCTCCTACTTTTTATTAGGCACTTAGCAGTAAGCTAGCAGTTAATTAGATAGTAGGTTATACAGGGGTATTAATTAGGATTAATTAGATTAAGATGCTCTGTAATCTAGTTAATATCCCTCCTACAACACACTCCCTAGGTATAGGTAGATCTTTTGTTGTTATAGTTACGCTTATAGTTAGTAGGTAGTATAGCTAATTAGAGCGTTATATATCTAAAGGGTTAAATTAGCTTACCCTTTAGATACTAACTAGCGCGCCTTCCTTATTTAGCCTACGCTTGCACACGTAGATATTGTCTAGACAGAGCTCTATAACTCTATCTACCTAACTATAATCTTTACTATAGCTTAAGTTATAAGATTATATAACCCTAAAGATCTAAACTATACCTATATCCCTACTAACCTATATCTTAGTTAAAGTTAAAACCTACTACTTATACTTACTCTACCTATACTGCCCTTATTGCCTCCTACGCAGCTAAAGCTATAGTTGCTAAAGCTACTACTACTAAAGAAGAGCGTACTACTACTAAGCGTAAGGCTATTACAGAGTATATAGTAGCTAAGCATATAGCTACTACTACTATAGTTAAGATTGCAAAGCTAAGGAAGGGCACTCCTGCTCTAGCTCCTACTACTCTAGCTCTAACTCCCGCTCCTGCTCCTCCCTAGACCCCCCCCTCTATCCCCGCTCCTACTCCCTCTCTAGCTCCTAAGGAGACCCTAAGATCCTCCTATTATAGAGAGCCTAGTATTTATTATGCTAAAACTTGTCTAAATTGTCTACGCTCTACGCTCTTTAATAAGTCTAATAGTAAGTGCTATAACTCTTCTAGTAGGGGGACTTAGTGCTAGTAGTGCTTCTCTAGGTATAGCTATATCCTAATATATATAATCTATATAAGAATTTTCCTTTATAACGCTTAGTAAGATCTATACTAATAAACTAATAGCCCTAAGCTTGCCTAACGTTCTACGCTATCCTTCTAAGTAAGGAAGCAGGTAGGTAAGAGCTAAGACCTTCTTAAGGATAAGAAGTAGAGGGTCTTAGTGCTCCTTAAGGAGAGTAAGGCTAAGTAGCAGGAGCTAGTAAAAGCTACTGCTGCTACCGCTAAGCTTGCGCGCAAGGCTGCTTCTATAGCTAAGGGCGCCTAGAGCTTCTTATTAGAAGATAAGGACTCTAGCTCCTCTAAGGTTCCCCCTATAGATCCTAGGATAGGGTAACCTAGGTAGCTCCCTATAGACTCTAAGGCACGCTTTGCGCGCGTAATAGAGCTCCTTAAAGAAGCTACCTAGTTAATAATAGAGAGGTAGGCTATAGTTAGTTATTTTTATATTATATATTAATAGATCTTATATACTACCTTACTTTAATTAATACTATATAATATATGCTCTGCTATTATATAACTTTAGGTGCTCCCTAAACCTTATAAATTATTGTAAAGTTAGGTTTTTAGTAAGCCTATTAGCTAGCATATTACTAGTAGGTAGGTAGGTAATATAGAAAGATCCCTTTTTATACTCTTATCTAAGCCACATGTTTTAAATATCTATATAGCGTAGCTTAGTGGTAATCCTTTTATTATTGCCTACTACTAACCTAATAGTTTGTTAATTATTAAAATTAATTATCTAGGTAGTATCTAAAGTAAGGTGTATTTTAGTTAAAAAGCGTTTTAACGCTATTACTTCTTTACTTACTTGCTTAAGCGCAAGGAGCTCTACCTTAGTAGTTAACGTAGTAATAGTTGCTTATTAAGCTGCCTTCTAAATAACAGGTCCTCTAAAGAGCGTAATTAGGTACCTATGTAATAATTGCTAAGTATTAATATTATTAGCAAATAACACATTACTACATATTATAAGCTTATTAGGATCCCTATTCCTATATTAGATTAATTAGTATTAAGTTTAGTATAGATAGACAATTACTTAATTAACTACATTAAAGTGTTGTTTAGATAGGTTAGTAAGGTATTAGGAGAGCTAGGAGGCTACATAGGCAATATTAGGGCGCACTATAATTAAGGTGTAAAGGATTAATCTAACGCGCTCCTAATAGTCCTTGATCTCCTTTTTAGTGGCTTCTCTAGTGCTCTTTTTAATATCTTTACTTAATAGTAGTGTAGTAGGGAATTTTCCTGTCTCTACTAGATTAAATTTCTTTGTAATCTTGTTAATATATTTATTATAAATAAGCGTTATTGTCTATCTCTTTCTATCCTAGATTACTCTTACCCCTAGAAACTAGCTTACAGGTCCCTTCTCTTCTATAGTATATCTTTGCTTTAGAGCTTGGATAACTTTGTAAGCTTAGCTTGCGTAGTTTTAGTAATAGAGCGATAGGATATTATCTATATAGAATATTAATTAGATAAGATAATCACTCATAATCTCGTGTTAAAGAACAGGCATAGCTCTTCTTTAGAAGTAATAAGCTTATTTTCTTAGAGTGTAGTTAAGAGCTTATTATACTATAATAATAGTAAGTCTTTTAATCTATATAGAGCTCGTT